CATTAAAAGCTTTTACAGGTGCTTAAAATTGATGCTTCTTGTAGGACCCGTATTTTCAATAGAAATTAAAAAATAGCCTTCGACAGGCTTTAGAACAAAGCTTTATCTATCTTACTACAAAATTTCAAACCTCTGTTCCAAATATTAAACTTTTGATATCTAGAACCGATAAGCATTTTTTTACCCTATGGCGCGTGTACTACTGAGTCTAACGGCATCTTTTGAGTATGTACAGTTGGTACGTACCGAAGCAGCTTTTATAAAAAATCTAACCGAGTAGAAAAGGATTCGGTGTTATTTTTCAACGCATCAGTGAGTACTGTTGGCTCGTGCCGAAGCGAATTTTATAAAAGATGTAACCGAGTGGACTAATTTCAAAATTCAAAACAAGACGAAATCACTAAATTTTTTAAACTCTTGCCTAAAGCTAATTACAACGATTAATTTTAATTGCGAATTTATCAACACATTGATTTTATTTAGATACATATTGGTTTTATTTTGGAACGTATCCCCTATGATTCCATACTAATTACCATTCCATATCCACGGTTTCTGTATTCGCGGCATATTTATGGAACGTATACCCCGCGCATAAAGAGCTTTTACTGTATATACCTATATAATAAAGTTGAATGAAATTTTATAAAAGCCTAGTCTTTCAAAAGTTAAATCGATCGCTCTTGTTTTGTTTTGTTATATTTTATGGAGCTTAATAAAGCTTTACTGCTCACATATTAAATTTTCGCACTAAATAATAGTTGCCAAGGAAACGAAAATGTGATGTATACCAACAAAAAATTAATGTTGTCAAGTAGGGTTAAAAATGGCTCTTCGTGAGTTGCATTCTCAATGTCTTAAGATAAAATATAAAAATAAATTTTGTTCTAAAGCAAATTTCTTTATTCTTCTAACGAAAGTTATTTCTATTATTGTTCCTCTACTAACTGTGTACTACAACGATGGTACGTATAAGTACCTACTAACAATATTTTTAACTTTAAAAAAAATCCCTTTTTTGTATGTTTCAGAAATTTGGAGCAAGACAATTGTTGTAAATAAACAACCTTCAGTTAAGTTTCAGGGCTATTATCATTTCCAGGCATCTACAAGTAATTCTAGTCATCCAATATTTTGTAGCAATTTTCCGTTTTTAACAAAATACGATAAGGATTCATGGGATACTTGCTCTTATATTAAGGTGAATAATTTATGATTAGGTATAGCGAAAACGTATATATACGACGGTACTATCATACATAATAATGTGCTAGGGTAGGTTTGTCTGTGTATGTCAATATCTCAGTTGGCCGTGGACAAAACTGTCGAAAATTTAACATTTCTTTTAAAAATTGTCTAAAAACGGTAAAAGATGCGTCAAATTAAAAGGAATCTATCGATTTATACGGTTGAAGACCACGCTATACTGAAAACTTTGTCCGATTTTCTCAAACGGTTTAAAAGATATGTACAATTGCTTACGGCAAAAATTAATTTTTCGTACCACGGAAATATATCTCCTCTCAGAATATACTATCCTAGAACTAGCTGAATATCAAAACGTTTACATAAAAGACAAAAGTAAAAGATAGGCCCATTTTCGAAATCCGAGGTATTTTCGTTTAATCAGAATTTTTATTTAAAATTTGGTAATTTTAATATATTTGAGATAAAAATAAACAGTTGGGAAAGTAAACGGGATTAAAAATGTGTTTGATTGGTTGCATACGCACAAATTCTAATCACATTGTAACCATTAAATTCGGGTGTACAGTCGTTTGCATACACATGCTTTACGAAAATATCGGCGAAACTCAAGTAGAAAGTGCTTACACCACTGGCAAAGAGTACAACTACAAGTCTCAACTAGTGTAGATATAGAATACATTGAGTAATAACATATTGGTAACAGGCCAAAGAAGTCGACGTTGATGATGATGGTCAAATAGATTTATTTGAGTTTACCACACACGTTTTATTGGAAGAGTTGAAGATTAACTCTGTACTCTTAATTTTAAGTTTTAATTACGAACTGCAGGTAAATAATAATTATTTTTATGAAAGAAATAAAGGTGAGTTAAACATTTTCTGTTTTGTATTTTTAGGGAACTTGTACCGTAAATATGGACAGCATAATAACCATTGAACATCCAATTATAGAAAATGCCTATGAAGTTAATGCTTATGGTATTTTACAATTTTCACAATTAGTAGTTGTGCATTGCTCCAGATTTTTAAAAACGATTGCAGAGCCCTCCATCATTACAAGCCCGAAACAATTACCGTTTTATAAACCCCAGGATCTTTTAGAATACCACACAGTCAAAAATTGTAAGCAGATGCATCATACTAGGGATCCTGCAGTACGGGATAATGTAACGAGTATGCCTACAGATTGCGATTGCTATTTTGGCCCAATGCATTACTAATAACTTATTGATAATATATAAACTTGCTTTTACGACTTGGTCAGTGATTTATCAAAACTGCCTATGGCGTGCTGATGAGAATAAAAGGTTTCGGTAAATCAATAACTTATTGCTCTTTATGGTTGGCTGATCGCTAATATATGATATGGTAATAACTGACATAGTAGGTAACTATACGTTGACGTAATTCCAAATTAATATTTAAACATTTATAAAAAAATGCGATTTTACTTCTTTTCCTATCAATATCGTTGCTTGCTTTGAAGCCATCCCCTACTAAAGGATCCTTAGGTGCATGATAATAAATAACTAATTTATATGATACATTCTATTTTAGTAACGACTGTGTTTAAGAGTTTACATACAACTTATAAGTATGGAAGACAAAGATACTTGACATTTAATTTGAAAATGCGCATCCCGCAACATACTGTACACTACAAACCAAATTTCACGCAAAGCGGAATTTCTGCATTAATGCAATTTATTGTATTATATATTCTCGTTAATTATATTATTAGCAGAATTAAGAAATATGTGTTTGATAAAAGGGTATTTTTATTTTATGAAATAAAACCAGAGTACAATTAATTTGTTTTCATTTAATTGATCCTTGTAACAATTTTCTTAGTACTTATCCCTTGCTTACCTTAACTTTTATTTGTTTATTTATTTATTTACATATTTTTGTTTCAGAAAATTTTCTTGACAAAATAACTGATTAAAAAAAATGAATGTTGGCAATATTTACAAAACACTTTTATTAACCATTAACCATAAATTAAACTATTGTTCGTAACACACACTGTACTCAAGATTTCTAACATTACTTCAAAATATGTTCATTATATTGACAACTTCTCTACTGTATTTGTGCTTATCCCATAACATTAGTTAAGTAACAATTCAGAAGAATTTGAAGGAATATTAACCTGACGATTATCTTCTAACACAATAGTGGTATTAAACATGTCATTTACTTCTACGATAAGATATCGATATTCATAGTTTCCTGATGCATTCTATAAATTATTAAAAGTTATTTATATCATTAAACTTGTACTTGCCTTACTTTTATTTACTTCTTGCATTTCTAGATGAACAGTTGCTTTATTGAATGCTCCTTGTAAATAAAATCGCATCCTTAAAAAACCAATATCTCCTCTTTTAAATTTTAAGTAATTTACATGCTGCCGTCTTCCTCTTCGTGTTTCTTCACCATATGATGTTATGGGCAAACCTAATTTATCCTGAATTCGTGGGTCATCGGTACATCTTTTAGCTGCTTTCGTGTAAACATTATTTGGACTTTTGCTTGAAAAAAGTTCACTAAAAACTGCATAAAAAAGTGTCCCTGTAACCCCAATGCCCAGCAATATTATTCCCACATAAGATGCTGTTTTTGTTGTTTCTTTTACTTTTTCTCCTAAAGGTTTCACATTTGTGCCCACTTCAACGTTTTTAAACTTGGTTACAGCATTATTTTTAGAATCTTTTTGATATTTATATACCGACTGATATAAACATGGCCTTAAATCTAACAGAATTGTTTTTCTACGGCGTATTACGGTCACTAAAGCTTTTACAAACATGACTCTCTTAAAGTAGACAACATATTAATTTTAAATTGTGTAAACAATAGTACGCTTAGTGTTTAAAAATTATTTTATCCATATTTTAATTTAACCTTTCACACATATCTTCATAGATAATATCTTTCTAACCATAGACATATATTAATGGACGTGCCTTACCCGTATGTCGTTGTAATAATTTCTTGGCTCGAAAAGGGAGGAAGATTTGGTTTCGGACTAGTGTTATCTCCTTCATGACACACTCACACACTATTGTGAGAGAGATGGATATTGTCCGAAACCTCATTCTCTCTTTATTTTGTTGTACCACAATTCTGACCGCTAAGGCATGTCTATTACTAAATGTCGATGTTTCTAACCAACCATAGTTTCTGACAGCACTTTTTTAGCATTTCTACGGTAGTAGATTGCAGATTTCTGACCATAGATACTCATAGATTAGATCGATTAGATTTTATTTAACAATTCTGTGGTTGGTTTCTTGCCCTGCTCGCCCACGGATATAGAGAACAGAATGAGCAGTATCCCTATGAAATTGACCACTCTCTAGAAAGAAAGAATCGACCATGCAGCCAATACCTGTCTCTTTACCTCATTCTTCCGTTTCTGCAAGACTGTAAAGTGGCTGCACGATCGCTTTGTCTCTTCACACGTTTCTACCTGTATTTACATTATAGGTAGACAGAGAAACACAGTCCATTCTCTATATCTATGGGCTGACCCATGAAGATTATAGAAAGGAGTCGAATCTTCATGTATGTGAAAGCCATAAGTAAAAACCGCTCAGAAGAGAGCGCTCCGATCGCTGAGAATTCAAGATCGCCGTCTAGATACACACTTGATACTAAAAATTCATTAAGCAATTGGGCATACACCATCTCGTGGCAAAATTTGTAACTCGAATGAGGGAAAAATTTACATAGGAACTGTGCACACAAATTGTAAAATTGTTTATTAAAATAATAAAACACGTTAAAAAAGTAAAAATTTTTTTGATGATGGAGTCGACGAAGTTTTCTTCTAAAGTTAAATCAAATAAAAAGTTAATATGTTCAGTGAAAAGCTGCAAT